GAAACAAGCTGTATTCTCAATATACTTGACAAATTAAGAAAGTGGTATAATTTTGCATATTGAAGAAAAAGAACTTACTGCCGTGTTTCAAGAAAGTCATTCAAGAATGTCATGAGGTCATAAAATCTAAATTTAGATTTCTTTAGTCCACGAATTTTAGCTGCCGATCCACTGGGAATGTAGGCTTTTGCCTTTTTGCGAGCTTTTGCATAATTATCTCGCAGATACTTCCAGCGAGCTTTAGCTTCCTCTGGACCAAGAGCACCTAACAAACATATACACATGTAATGTATAATTGATTTATAACGTATAAAATATCTATATGTGTATTCACAAAAGATAAGACATAGAGATATAGAGATAGAAATAAATTTAGATATAGTACCTCCTAAAAGATTGGATACTTCTAACCATAACGCATTTTTACGCAAATTTGTTCTCTGAGAAGCAGGTATAGTATAGTCGTAAAGTGCTCTCCTTTCCTTCACAGCCCCAATCAAGAGTTTATCCAAAGTATCTTTACATGCAGGACCTTCGGCAGTCTTTGCAGTGCCTTTGATTATTTAACAAATAGATAAATTTAATTCTTTTGTTATGAAACAATAAAATGTGCGTGAAGAATAAAAGGATGTAGTAAACGTACATATTGTCACAACATAATTTTCATCCACACAAATGCGATCTTCATCCTCCACATAATGCTTAAAGCATTCATGCTCGATAAAATTCGTAAAGCTGAACAGTCTCCCGCAATACCCACATTTGTGCTAAAAGGCAAGCATGCAATGTGAATAATGATGCATTAGGATGAAAAAGCCAAAGAGAAGGCATTGAAATCTTAAAACCATCATAACCTCGTATCGACATGCCGTGAACAGTGGATCGGATATGACCGAATGCAGCTATCACAGCTTTCATATAATAAATTATAATAAATAATTATAATAAATTTTATACAAAACTATTTATTAACTTACCTTTAATTGATCCGTATTCATTCTTCTCTCTTGTGCGTAACAATCCGTCCTGTGCGTAACAATCCTGCACCAGCCTGCACCAGTCTGCACTATCTATCGCTAGTTCCGCTACTTCCGCTAGAAATTGGATTTGGCGTAATGACAATAGCGTAAAGAGCGTAAAATAACTAGACGAAAGTTGATACTCAAATGAGATGATGTGATTGGTCGGCACAAGTTACGCCGCAGTTACGCTTACGCAAGTTACGCCGCATGTGACGGCACCCTGATTTGAAGTTACGACCTTTGCCAACTTATTGATATGACCGTGAAAAAGCTGGTCCCTATATACATCTCCATCTTCATTTAGATAGAGCGCATTGTGGTATACCCGTGCCATGACGGTTCTTTCCACCACGACTCTCGCCAAATCTAACTGGTTGGCGCTTGCCGCTGAAAGTAAGAAGTAAGTTCAGACGTCTCTGAGCACTCCGCTAAGATCAATTGCGAGATAAATAATTATATTCATGTACATTGCCAAATCGGATCGTTGTCCATTTCCACGTGGACCTTCCCTAGAAAATTATCCACGAGATCCTGTTTCTCGTCAGCTAGCGTAAGCTTTTTAAACTCTTCGCAGGAGGAAAGCTTTCTTTTTTTCCAAAAATACCCTCACACAAACGGATACAAGATGATTATTGATAGCATCCCGATCGCACTTAACTCGCACGCATAATCTGAAAAATATTATTATTAAACATCTTACATTTAAACATCTTACATTTACTTACATTTAACATCTTACATTTAAACATCTTACATTTACTTATACATTACATACAAAAATGATATTTATATATAAACAGTACCTATCTAAGTGAGCTAATGTCGACAGCAATCCCTGACGACATCTGATTAAATATGCGATATAAGGAGATCGCTTTTGATAATCCTCTCGAAGTGATTTGAAGAGCTTTCTACATCCATCGTCATTAAATAGACGCACGCAACGTAAAGTTTCATGAAGATGAGCTTAGACTTAGTTAACTAAGACTTAGCTCAGCTCCAGTTGTGCCGTTTGCTATGACAGAACTCTCCTGCTGATGTTCCCCATCAAGCCTCACGTTCTCTTCCTCCGCCTGAGTCTCCATTCGCGCGAAGATCACGTTGATCATCTGCGTGAGAGTCGCACAGGCTGTTGTTTGATTCACCAGGTTGCGCGACGACAAGTAAACGTTGTAAACAGTACGAATTGTTAACAGTACCGTATCCTCGTATACCTCCACATGCTGGCTTGTCATTACAGTCAGCAGAGCTTTAATAATCTGCAGCTGCACACTCTCATCGGTCTGTGGACCGGTGAAGCAACCGCAAATTGTCTCGACAATGCGCACAATCGGCAGCTTGTTAGGCTCCGTTGAATCAGGCACATTGCCAGTGAGATGGCTATATGCGATTAACTTCTGCAGGCAGTCCAGTGCTGTGTCACCACAATCCGTAGTGACTAGCTCTGACATGCTGACTCAAATAGCAAGAAGTACTTCTCAGCGGTAATGACATTTGAGTCGCTCTTAATTGGACTGTGGCCCAATTAAGGTTGTATGACCCGTAAGATCTCTGCCAAAAGTTTAAGAAACGTAACATAAAGCTAATTAACATATTTAAGAAGATATTCTTTACTGGAAAGTAATATTTATATTAATATTTTATTAAAATAACGGTTGCCTGTGTTTTTAAGAGCTATAGACATTTTTAGGCATATTTTCTCGTATGCAAACTTTCACTTTTAATGATTTTTAGAAAGACTGTACCTGACTTGCAACTGACACAAACGAAAATCTGAAAGTGTGAAAATCTTTAAAAAGTAACAAAACATAGTAATTACTATTTAAAAATACTAATGAAATTATATTACGTTATTTATTTACGTCATTTATTAATAAATTAAATACAATAGCTCTCATAAAAAAGTATTTTGATCGCGACAACGTCGCATTTTCTGTAAGTTGGTAGCATTGATCTCGCTCGACATCAGCTGCGTGAACGCAAAGTGTGTGCTCTACTGCTCTGAGCACGTGTAATATACAGAAACGTTTTACTTTCGGCATTTTCGTAGCGCAAGCGAAAACTAACCTCAAACGATGCGTTTGTATATTACACGTGCTCAGAGCACATGGAGCACACTTTCGATACACAAGAGGCTCTATTGGAAAAAGTAACGAACCTCTGTAGTATTTGTTATCCTTTACGGAGAGTGACGGAGAGAGGAGGTTCTAATGTGACGTCATAGTGCGCTGTTGCCGGATCTCTGTACTTACGAGTTCAGTGAGACCAAGCGAGACTGTTCTCTGTTTGGTTTTTATTCAATATTTCAGAAAATATCCTCGAAGTCATAATTTTTTTGGTTCTAATTTGTTTGTAAGATGTTTATTAATATTTCTGCAAAGTTTTAAAAGGATGCCATATTTTCTTCGATATTAATTTCTCAAATGAAGTTGAAAAAACAGTGAAACTTGATGAATTCCCATAAGAGCCCATGTTAAATTCAAATTGGTATAACTTTTGAACGGGCCTCGCAAACTTGTTCAAACTTGGCACAATGCTTTATTATTATAATACTCATCACCTGACAAAATTTGAAGAATTTGGCATTTTTTCTTCTAAGGGGTCATACAACCTTAAGGGCGTTTGAGATAACCTCTTCACCCTGCACAGCTGGTGTACATCTTTGATCTCGTTACGGAGGTCCTCTGCAAGATGGAAATATGAGTGACAAACTTATAATTAGCAACGAACTATCGCTTATAGCTACAGGCTTATTAGCCGGTATATTTATTTATTTCAGTATAAAATAATTTTTAAAACGTTCATATAATTGCAGACCTTCGGGAACACTAGCGCCTTCTTCTTTTAACATGAATAACTAAAAATCTATATTTCGGCTAATTACCGAGTTTATAAATATTTAATTAAAATTATCTGGGTGACTCACAAACCTTTTTAATCACACTTCATAACTCTTCATACAAAATACAAACGATTCCGTATAAAAACTTTTATTAATTTATCTACTTCGGCTAAATGCATGGTGTAAAAATAATTAATTAATTACAATTAAATGAATGACTCACAAACCTTTTCAATTGCACTTCAAAAGTCTTCATACGAAATACAAACGATTTCATATGGTAGATTCTTTCCCGGACATTCATTTCCGGTCAAATACATACGAATCAGCTTTGCAGGCTTGCTTAAGCCCGGTGTCCACGATGCAAGAACTGTGTCCAAGTTTCAGT